ATGAAACAACTTTAATGCTATACTGTGGAATATTGTAGCCAAAGGAACAACATTTCCATGGAAACAAGCAGGAGTAGGCCCTCCTTCAGGCTCAGGTTTGTGGAGATGCAAGCTCACTCACTGTAACATGCATGTTTTTCTTTTATAATAAAAACATACTGTATTTTTCAGACTATAAGTCCAAACTTTTTTCATGGTTTGGGTGTTTCCTGCCACTTATATATTAACATTTTCACACTGAAGCTGCGAGAGGCTCTAGTCTTGTGTGTCAGTATCTGCTGCTCCTGTTCCTCCTGTACCACTGTCACTTCACGTTTTTATTATAGATCCATGGCTCTACTGCACATGTCTCCTGCAGAAAGAGCCTCTGTCCTGTCTGTATCATGTCAGTCGATCGCAACATTACTTCTGTACCACTGAAAATTTAAACAAACATAAAAACGACTGAGAAGACTGAACACAGATGCCCCCAAAAAGAAAATCATATTTTGCAGATTACAAGTTGCAAGTAGCGAAAAATGGAGCCGAAAACGATAATCGAGCAGCAGAAAAAAAGTTTGGCGTGAGCGAGAAACTTGTGACACCAAGTGGGTGTCATTGGATGGATCGACAAAGCTCTGACTTCAGCGACTCCAAACCATCCTGTCGGGATTCAGAAAAGCCAGAATAATTCTAACTGGAACTGATGCTGAGTCTGACGACAGTGACACAGAAGAGGAAGCGGCGCTCTGTTTACCTCCGAAGGTTGTGGAGTTGCTCAGAAGTGACACCGAGGATGAAGAATTCAAAGATTTTGTGATTTGGAGTGAGATGGAGAGTTTGGTAAACTTGTTCTGTTCTGTTGTTTATGTTATAGTTTATCTGAAGAACTGTTCATATGTGACGTTAACAGTCTGTTTTATTGTTTTTACTAGAACTTGACTTTAAGATGAAGTATTGGTTCCTGGTCTCTGATTTTATAAAATAAATTTCCCTAAAAAGCTGCAACTTATTGTCCTGTGCGACTTACATATGTTTTTTTCTTTATTATATATTTTTTGGCTGATGTGACTTTTAGCCCCAGAGACTTATAGTCTGAAAAATACTGTACCTTTTTTTTTGTAAAAAGTTACGAGGTGGAGCTTTAAACATGTTTTTCACATTTAAAAAAGAAAAAAATCATGATGATAATTTTGTATTATTCCTCTGCTACTTTAAATAGATTTTTAAAATGTCATCTAAAACAAAACGTTACAGTTCAACAAAGTCTTTTTGCAGATTAAAAAAAGTTACAGTGAAAATGACATTATTTTCTTTTAACAATATCAAAGCTCATATAAAACAATCCATGATATTTTAACAGAAATACATTTTCTTGATTATCAAATATGGCTACTGAGAACTGTACAATGATCAGAGTCTGTTTCGATTGTCCAAACTTCTACAAAACATCCAAAAATCTCTGTTTCTTATTTGACCCAAAATGACTGATTTTCCCCAGAAACAAAAGTGAACATTTGAAACGTCTTTGTGCAAAAATGTTTGACCTGAAAAAGAACATTCAAAAGTGCTTCATCCAAGATTTCCTGGAAGAGAAAGGACTTTTATTCAAGACCAACATTACCTTAAAGGAGACATATACACGGTTTTAAATTGTTCATTTAAAGACTTGCACCTGATTTTCTTCCATGTTTTCAGTGGAACGTGTCTAAACTCAATACAGATATGTTGTATAAGCAGCTCTCAGGTCAAAATAAATCTGCAGTGTCCAGTCTGCATCTAATTATGAACCGTTTTATTGCCTGGTCATCAGGAAATGGGTGTTGCATGCTAGTTGTTGTTCGCTTTACCGTGATGGTCGGCATTTTTTAATGTAAACAAAATTTTAAGTTTTCTGGCCCTAAATGAGTGTGTGCTGCCTCCACTGCAGTTTCAAGTACAAAGGGCCACAGTGGTGGTCGAAGGGGAAGATGGGGCAGACTCACTTCTGTCAGTCTGTCCCAGGGCAGCTGTGGCTACAATACAAACTTACTACCACCAAGTGTGGAGTGAGAATTCACCTGTGACTTTGAGTGTCTAAAAAAGCCCTATATAAACTGAAAGGATTATTATTATTAAACTACTTTTTATACCATTCTGTGGAAGATTCTAGCCAAAGGAACAACATTTCTGTGGTTTGTGGAGATGCAAGCTCACTCTGCGTGTGATATTACACAGCCCTGCCCTGATCACAGACAGGTGACAGGTGTTCTGAAACTAACCCTGCATTTGATTATTCTTCTGAATCGGTTTTCTGAGGAAGTTACCTAGCGACACGCCCCTTTTTCTGGGATGGCGCGACTCAGACCCCGGTGGCTGAAAAAATACACAGAGGAAGGATTCAGAAGCCACGATGGTTATGCCAACTGTGACGTGTAAATATGAACTGTTTTCATTGTGTTTGGACACTTTGGTGGTTTAAATGACAGTTTTAATCCTCCGTGTCGTTGTCTGTGGGTTTGGTAGTCGATGCTGTGGTGAGGCCGGTATTGAACAAATACTTGATTTAATGGGCATTAATGTCCCTAAGGTTGTAATGGAAGAGAAATCATAACATGAAATAAAGTGCAAATTTTAAAAATCTAATTAATTCAAGTGGCAGCGTTTTCATAAGATGAGGGAATAGTTATAATCATAATCCACGTAGCCCGACACACGAAACATAATAATACGCTTCAAGCTCTGACGTGATATTAAACCCGAGGTCCAAGTGGGAGTCGGAAGATAATCGAACGCAGGGTAATGGGAACAAAGGTCCTGGTTACAGACAGGTGACACGTGTTTCTGATACAAACACCTGTCTGCAGGGACGGAGTCTGAAGCGTGGAGACCTGTCGGGCCAATCACACTGCTCCCTACACCTCCAGACTCCGCCCCCTCTGTCCTGTAGTCCTCCTGGTGTTGCCCAAGTTAGCATCTCTACTTGATCCGTTAATTATAGAAAAGTTTTTAAAAATTGCCCTTTTTCTACCTCGGACCACTCTTGAGACATGAGGGATTATTAGACTGATTATAAGATTTGAATTTCCAGAATATGTCTCCTTTAATGTTCACTGACAAATAAACGTGGAAGCCAAAAGAAAATTCAAACTCCAGTTGAAATGTAAATTCTTTAAAAATGTGCAAACACTGCCCATTTGATTCTCTCATATACATACTCTATAGAAATACTCCTACTGCGTAAAATACTAAAAAATATATCTGAGTGTTAAAAACATGGCTAATATCATTCTTGGTCAGGAACTCCAGAAGTCTATTGATTTGTTTTCACTAAAAATCGATCTTTTGCGCTGAGTTAAAGTTCAAGATTCAGGGGGTTCACAGCAGCACTCCTCCCCAGCAAAGGTGAGTCTCTGTGGAACAAAAATGTGCTTATGTTTCCTTTGAAAATCTCGATAACGGCTCATGTTTGCATCCTTAAAGGGCCGATATTACACAAAATTGATTCTTGTGAGCTTCAAGTCGTGTTATAATATTGTTACCTCCTCGAAAACAAATCTGCAGTTGTGTTTTGTTTCATTCACACATGTTTGAGTAATTTTTTTATTATAAATCTGTCTACATCTCCAAAGCTCAAAATAGTCTGAGCCACCTTGTGATGTCATGAAGCTGTATGAAGTATGAAAACACCTTATGACATCACAAGGTGGAAACAAAACACAACTCCAGGTCTGTTTGTGATAAGGAAACGACGTCATAACATAGATCAGAGTCCTGCACCGAGTGGGTTTTAACGTTCTGGAGTTTTCCGGGCGGGTATGTGGGCGGGTTTGTAATTACACACGGGCGGGTCGGGTGAATCAAACGAACGACGAACGGGAGAAAAGTACTTGACGTGTGTCCAGTACGTCCGTTGCCCTGGAAACAAGTGCAATTTCCCAGAACGATTATTTATTTATTACATAAAACCATCAGCAGAGGTGATTGGTTCAGCGACTGCGCTCCTGGTTTAGTCCTGGTTCAGTCCTGGTGTTTGGCTCTGCAGTTTGCGGTGTGTATGTATTTATGATAATGACACTGGTTTAGTCCTGGTTAGTCCTGGTTTAGTCCTGGTTTAGTCCTGGTTTAGTCCTGGTTTAGTCCTGGTTTAGTCCTGGCGATCGGCTTGGCGGTTGCGGCGTCTATATATTTATAATCTTCTAATGACACAGCGTAGGTTCAGTCCTGGTTTAGTTCTGTTTCATTTCTGGTTTAGACCTCGTTAAGTCCTGGCTTAGTCCTGGCTTAGTCCTGGTTTAGTCCTGGTTCAGTCTTGGTTTGGACCTGTTTAGTCCTGGTCCAACCAAGGCATAGTCCAGATGTAGTCCTGGCAATCAGCTGTGCGGTTTGCAGCGTGTATATATTTATAATTCGCTAATGACACGGCGTAGGTTCAGTTCTGGTTTAGACCTGGTTTAGTCCTGGTTAAGTCCTAGTTAAGTCCTGATTTAGACCTGGTCCAGTCCTGGTTCAGTCTTGCTTAAGTCCCGGTTCAGTCCTGGTTAAGTCCTGGTTTAGAGCTATTTTAGACCTGGTTTAGTCCTGGTTTAGTCCTGGTTTAATCCTGGTTCAGTCCTGGTGTAGTCCTGGGGATTGGTGGTGCGGTTACGACGTGTATATATTTATGCTAATGACAGTGGTTTTGTCCTGGTTTAGACCTGGTTTAGTCCTGGTTTAGACCTGGTTTAGTCCTGGTTTAGACCTGGTTTAGTCCTGATTCAGTCCTGGACTATTGGGCTGTGGGACTAATGGACTGACCCCGATTTATCACGGGCGTGGGCGGGTAACAGGTGGAATGTTAACAGGTCCGGCCGAGTGCAGATTTAACTTTGATATAATCACAGGTTAACAGGTGGGTGTGGTGCTGTACTGTGTGGGTGCGGGCGGGTGAGGGCGGGTGCGGGCGGGTGCGGGCAGGTCTCCAATTATGGACCTGTGCAGGACTCTGACACAGATCATAAAACTGCATAACACAGGCCCTTTAATGTCGATATTTTCATAGCTCCAGTCATGTTCCGGGTGCTCCAGGTCGGGGGGCTACACGGCGGTGCTCCTCCCCAGCAGAGGGAGCACCGTGGGCAGGCCGCAGTTCTGCTCGAGGCCCCTGACCCTGTGGAGCGTCCGGTGGCTCCTCTGGCTGCTCCGTCCTTGCAAAGAGTTGTACCCGGCCTGCAGTCTGAGCTCGTGGGGCGTCCGTGGGTCCCTCCTGGGCATCGTCGCCATCGCGCCCGCAGTGCTGTGCAGAGAGCGGACACTGGGGGGCGTCAGGTGGTTGTGGTTCAGGTCCATGTTGGATAAAAGGTGCCCCAAAGAGTCCCAGCGCTGCGAGGAGGGCAGCCGGATCAGGGAGGAGTAGCCGCGCTCGGAGAAGACGGTCGGCGGCTTGGTGTCTGAGTACATGGGGTAGTTTGGGACGCAGAGTGGGGCGGGGGCAGGGGAGGGGGTGAGGGCGGGGCATGGGACAGGGCAGGGGGCGGAAGAGGGGGCGAGGGAGGGGCACGGGACAGGGCAGGGGGCGGGGGCAGAGCAGGGGGCGAGGGCGTGGCAAGGGGCGGGGACAGAGCAAGGTGTGGGACAGGGGTTATGGGGCGGGGATGGAGCAAGGGAGGGGGCAGGGGGTGGGGCATGGGACAGGGCAGGGGGCGGGACAGCGCAGGGGGGCGTGGCAGGGGGCGGGGCGTAGAAGGGGGCGGGGCGGAGGACACCTGGTTTGAGATAAGTCCCGCCCCGGGGGTCAGCTAACACTTCGCTGTACGGAGGAGGAGGGTCTTCCATCAGAACAGCCTCTTCGTAACACGGAGGTTTCCCAAACACGTCTGAGTCTGAAAAAAACAACAAATCACAGTAAGAAAAGTGAATGCTGTATTTTTCGGACTATAAGTTGCACTTTTTTTTCATGGTTTGGGTGGTCTTGCGACTTTTTTATTTAAATTTTCACACTGAAGCCATGAGATGCTCTAGTCTTGTGTGTCAGTTTCTGCTGCTCCTGTTACTCCTGTACCACTGTCACTTCACTCTACTGCACATGTCTCCTGCAGAAAGAGCCTCTGTCCTGTCTGAATCATCTCAGTCGATCGCAACATTACAAACTTTAAACATACTTATAAAGACGACTGAGAAGACTGAACACAAATGCCCCCAAAAAGAAAATCATATTTTGCAGATTACAAGCTGCAAGTAGTGAAATATGCAGCTGAAAATGGTAATCGAGCAGCAGAAAGAAAATTTGGAGTGAGCGAGAAACTTGTGACACCGGGAGGATGAACCATGAAACTTTACTGGAAGTCACTGGATGAATCGACAAAGCCTGGACTTCAGTGACACTGAATCCATCCTGTCAGGATTCAGAAAGGCCCGAATAATTCTAACTGGAACTGATGCTGAGTCTGACGACAGCGACACAGAAGAGGAAACAGCGCTCTTTTTACCTCCAGAGGTCACGGAGTTACTCAGAAGTGACACAGAGGATGAAGAATTGAATGGATTTTGTGATTTGGAGAGAGATGGAGAGTTTGGTAAACTTGTTTTGTTCTGTTGTTTATGCTGTACTGCCCTACAAAGACCTTAACTCACCAGAGTGTGAAATTGAGAAAAATAACTGTGACACTGTTCTGTCGTGGTTTCTCGTGTGGTTTTGGATGTTACAGTTGTCATAGCCCTTTATTTTCTCATTAAAACAATCAAATTGGCTCATGATATTTATTCACATGATAAAGGAGGTCTCAAATATCCAACAAAATGACATTAACTCATTTTTGACCAAACATTATGTATGTACGGTGTTCTGACTTTGTAGGGCAGTCTGTTTATCTGAATAACTGTTCATATTTTACATTAACAGCCTGCTGTTGAAATGTCAGTTCCTAGTCTCTGATTTTATGAAAGAAATTTCCCCCAAAAAGTGCGACTTATAGTTCGGTGCGACTTACATGTTTTTTTCTTCTTCATTACGCATTTTTTGGCTGGTGTGACCTATACTCTGGAGCGACTTATAGTCCGAAAAATATTGTATTTCTACGATTTTATTTGAGTGACACAGTTTTATCTTCACATGTGTCGATTATTCATTCACTTCTTAAAGCTACATTGTGTAACTTTTCTGGTGGAGGGTCTGTCAAATGCTTTTCTCCATGGAGATGTCATTGCTTTGCCTGGAATGTTTCGCAGTACGGCATTAAACCTTTCTATCTTCATGGAAACCAAACCAGACCAAGTACAGGTCAGATCACAATCAGAATGGCAGGATTTCTAGTTGTTCGCGTTGTTGTAGGGAGTATTATCTGCTACAGAAGTGTGAGTACCACAGCTGTATTGCCATGCCGTCACCTCCTGTTGTATTTTAACATCAGTTTGTGTTGACCTTTGTGGGTTAAGACCATGAAACATCTGTGAAAGCGCAAATATGAGTCTGAAGAGATGTGCTTAAAATAAACATCACCGGGAAACGTCGTAAAAGGAGAAGTTGTGTTTTCCATTTAATTAAACAGAGTGTTTGGAGTTTCAGACATGCCAAACCACGCAATTCTGAAGTCACACAATTTCTAACTTGGCTCAAACTCTTTTTAATTTACTCCATTTCATGAGAAAACAGCTCCAACAAGCAGCGCTGGCCCGATATTCACTCAAACCTTTGTACCGTCAAACCTTTTAAAATCCTCTCGTTGTGTAATGTGACTTACAAAAGAAAATAAAAAAGTGCAGTGGACACGGGACTTAAAGGTGCATTGTGTAACTTTTCTGCTCAAGGGTCCATCACCTGCTTGTTACTATGGATATGTCATTGTTCTGCCTTGAATGTTCCACAGTGTAACTTTAAACAGCTCTATATTACATCTGGGCCCGGTCAAGCAGAAGTAAACAGCAAGGCCAAAAATTCAAGTTAATGCATCTGATATAAAAATGTATTGAACAGATACATATGTACTCTAGTTTATGAAACTGTTCACCTTTTTCTGTACCATTTGTGGTTCTAAAGTTACATATGTTTTAAACAGACCATGTATGAAACATGGAACAAAAATTATTTCCCAAATTTCAAAGACCTGCAAATCATGTAAATAAATGGATGTATTTCATCATATCTTGTGTTATTCCATCTTTGAACTGTTGATGACGGTATATGATTAAAAAAAAAAAAAGGGTGAAGGAAATCTGGGAGTCCCTGCTTAGGCTGCTGCCCCCGCGACCCGGCCCCGGATAAGTGGACAAAAATGGATGGATGGATGGATTTAAAATGATAAAAATTTGCTTGGAAGGACTGACATATTTTATAGAAATAGTTTCCTTTCATTTTGAAGTAATATTAAAGTATTTGGAAGAAAAAAGCTGACAAATTATGTAAAATCATGCACCTTCTACTTGGTTGCACAATTTTCCCTCCGTTACTTTTCCCTCCGTTACCATGACCTTTCTTAATAAAAAATCTCATTACTCAAAAAGTAAGAGGTTTTTCAACCTAATCTTGTACCATATGGTAGAAAACTATATGAAGCAAATATTCAAACCAGTTTGTTAAGGATATGTAAGTGAGAACCACTAGTTATCACTGTTTGGATTTATTGCCCAAAAAGTGCTGCATATTTCATTCCCTCTGTTACCGACATGAGTTTTTTAAATTTTTTGTCAACAACTTGAAAGAATATCACAGGTTTAACTTTACCCTGTTGGAGTGTAACTCTTTCCTACATTCTGATACTTTACTTATTTCAATAGTTCCTCTAGTTTCTGAATAAGAGACATTTGAATGTCAAAAATCTGCCCCTGTTTCCCTCCGTTACTGTTTGACCGGACCCAGATGATTTTATAGCTCAAAAATACCTACAAAAACAGGCATTCTGACTGTGAGCGGGGTCGCCTCTCCACAGATCTGATCTGTAACTTGATCCAGTTTGGTCTCCATGAAGATAGAAGAAGAAAGGTTTAATGCCATACTGTGAAACAGAGTCCTGCACTGGGACAGGTACGTGCAAATAGTTGCTGAATCGGGCGGGTTTTAATGTTTTGGAATTTTACGGGTGGGTCAGGTGAATCAAATGAACAACGAACTGGAGAAAAATATCTGAAGCACATCAAGGTCGTCCATCTCCCTGGAAACAAGTGCCATTTCCCGGTCATTTCCCGTAACGATGGACCAGGCTGAGAGAGATTTTAATGTATTTATTACATAAAACCATCAGCGGAGGCAATCGGCTGGATGGCTGTGCTCCTGGTATAGTCCTGGTTTAGACCTGGTTCAGTCCTGGTTTAGACCTGGTTTTGTCCTGGTTCAGTCCTGGTCCAGTCCTGGTTTAGACCTAATCCAGTCTTGGTGTAGTCCTGGTGATCAGCTCGGCAGTTGCGGTGTATATATATTTATGCTAATAACACTGGTTTAGACCTGATTTAGTCCTGGTTCAGTCCTGGTGTAGTCCTGGTCTAGTCCTGGTCTAGTCCTGGCGATCTGCTCTGCGGCGTCAATGTATTTATAATCAGCTAATGACATGACGTAGGTTCAGTCCTGGTTTAGACCTTGTTCAGACCTTGTTCAGTCCTGGTTCAGTCCTGGTCCAGTCCTGGTTTAGTCCTGGTTTAGACCTGATCCAGTCTTGGTGTAGTCCTGGTGATCGGCTCGGCAGTTGCAGTGTGTATATATTTATGCTAATAACACTGGTTTAGACCTGATTTAGTCCTGTTTCAGTCCTGGTCCAGTCCTGGTGTAGTCCTGGTTCAGTCCTGGCAATTGGCTCTGCGGCGTCTATGTATTTATAATCAGCTAATGACACGACGTAGGTTCAGTCCTGGTTTAGACCTTGTTCAGTCCTGGTTTAGACCTTGTTTAGTCCTGGTTCAGTTCTGGTCCAGTCCTGGTGATCAGCTCTGCCATTTGCGGCGTGTATATATTTATAATGACCTAATGACACGGCAAAGGTTCAGTCCTGGTTTAGTCCTGGACTATTGGACTGTCAGACTAATGGGCTGATCCCGATTTATCACGGGCACGGGCGGGTAACGGGTGGAACATTAACGGGTCCAGGCAGGTGCAGATTTAACTTTGAAATACTCACGGGTTAACGGGCGGGTGTGATGCTGTACTGCACAGGCGCGGGTCTCCAAAATGGACCCGTGCAGGACTCTGCCATGAAACATTCCAAACAAAACCATAACATTTCCATGGAGACAAACATTTGACGGACCCTCCACCAGAAAAGTTACACAATGCTACTTTAAAAGGAAAGGAATGTGGAGGCTGCTCTGGCACTGAGTCTAGTGTTTTGTCATTCCAGTGATCATGAGTAAGAGCTACATTTGGTTTGAAGATCCACCTCGTTCCTGCAAACACAAATAGATTCATTTTTTGTCATTTAAAATCAAAATCCTACAAACTGTTCCTTTAAAAGTCATACATTTGTCCCTGCCTGCTCCTGTCCTGTCTCATATCAGTGAAGTCTCGTGTAGGAAAGTCGTGTCGTGTCTTGTCTCTCAGACTTTTGCTCTTTTTGCCGATTTTCACAGATCTGACTCAGCCTCAATATTTATCCAACAAACGCAGATGCCGTTTACAAAGAAATGAATCACCAAAACAGACCCCTACAAAGAAAAGCACATTCAAATGTCAAACTACAATTACTGAAGTGAAAACTCAGGACTGAACCGCATCTCATTTCTCTTTCCTCGCTTCCAAACAGGAGGATCTAAACTCCTCGCTGAAACCAAAAAAGTTTGATTCGTTGATCTGACGTCTGCCTCCTGAAGCCTCCCTCATGTTTACTCCTTCCTTCTGCGGTTTTCTATGGGACAACACTTAATCTGACATGTTTGATTGACAGCTGAAAAGCGGAGAATC